TAACGACTGGGGGATATAGCTCAACTAAATTTTAAATCCTCATAAGATCTTACTGTTGCAAGAAAACGTAACGTAACCGATAGGCTTTCCTCAGCAGTGATCGCTTATCTCATTATAGTATTTTGTTTTGTGATTCGGTATTCTATTGCTTCCAAAATAAACCTAAATTGGTGATCATCCATACGTAAATAATGTTTTAATGAGAAATTTCTGAAACCCTCAATTGGGTTAAAAAATTCGAATGTGAAAACTGATTACTTTATCCCTACATGTTTCATACTTTGTTTCCTGAATACATGTCCTGAAAAATCTACTCGACTACAGGAAGGTTAAAAAAAGAAGACGTCGTATTTTTTGTTCATTTAAACTATGTTCTTAATAATCCCGAATGATTTTAGTACCTCTATAATAATATTTTATTAAATTATAAATTTAAAAAACTGTTTTCTTAAAATATAGGTAAATTGTTTAGGCCATAAAAAAAACAATTTCTGCACTTAATAGAGTAGTATATTGTTGTTACCGTTACACGAAACATTTTTATATCCATCGATTTTACGTCGGGCATTGCCTTTAAACAGTAACAAGTTTATGATTTTTTGTTTTTGTTGGAAAGCGATTGTTTGGTCGTGTATGCTACCAGTACTTTCATACATAATTTAGCTTTTAAACGGATTGCTGAAAGGCAGTTTTATGCATTTTTTACATAAGTGTTTTAGTGTATACATATGTTTCGATTGTTATCTAATATATACAGCTTAATAATAAATATTTCCATTTATAAATCAATTTTAGCATGTGTACAAAGTCTATCAATAGCCTTACGGAAGAATGTATGGGAATTAATGTTAGGGTAAAGTTCAGAGTATTTTGTGCAATTTATGTACTACTTGACACACTTTCGAACGAATTTCGTCCAGAACGGGGTGTCAGACAAGGATGTATACTACTCTCCACAATTATTCAACATATATGGGGAGTATATTATGCGAAGAGCACTTGAAGGATGGGAAAAGGGCATCTCAATAAATGGTCATAAACTAAACAACCTACGTTCGCAGATGACACAGGCTTTCTTGCAAATAGTCAAGCAGAGCTAATAGAACTTATACGACTGATCGAAAACGAAAGTCAAATATTTGGTCTGCAATTAAACATATCAAAGACAAAGATCATGATAG